GGGCCGGCACCCCAGGGCCCGAGCCGACCCAGGCTGGAGACGCCGGGGGGGCCAGACTGGGCCGCGCCTCCTCCCCCCACACCCTCCTTACCTGCTTCAGGCTTCCCGCGAATCAAATGTTCGCGGGAAGCAGGGGAGGGGGCGGAGTTGGGGCGGGGACTTTGGGGAAGGGGCGGAGTTGGGGCGGGACGGGGCCCGTGGAGTGTCCTCCTTTTGGAGGCTCAAAATATGGTTATCCTATTATTGGGATCCCTCCAAGATAGCTTACAGGGCAGACTGCAGATCACCCTCTGCTGGCATGTTCCTGGTTTGGTTTTCCAAAGCATTCCTGAAAACCCATTGGATGCGGGAAATTACACTAGGAAACACTTGCTGCTTGGTGGACAACCGTCAGTAGGATGCCAGTATTGGTCTTGTTCCTGAGTGCAAAGATTAAGTGGATGCATTCAAACAAGGTTGGTTCTCTTGGAGGACTTCTCTGGCACTGAAGGTTAGATTAGAATAGTATGGCTACTCTGACTTCTAGGTAGGATTTTCAAAAGTACGCAGTACTGGCCTCACTCTGCCCCCACTGAAGTTTTACCACTAATGGTGAAGATTTTCAAAGAACAAATGACTTTCATTAGTAGATGGGTGACACCTAATGGCCCTTTGTGCCTTTGAAAATTTCCCCAACTTCAATAGAAGGAGAGTTAGGACAACTGTGAGTGCTTCTGAAAATCCCAACAACTGAATCTGTGATGCATCTGCTGAGCTAGGACTTAGCTAGCAGTGTCACCTACCCAGATTTCAGCAATGCAAGCTCAGTCTAGGCATTCCTGATAGTTCAGGACATGTTTAATAACTGGATTATTGATTACTGACCATGCACTGAACAATAGGAGGGTTTTCTTCCTGCAGCACTACAAAAAATATTTTGGAGGCCGCCAAGAGGAAAATAGTAAACTGTGACTTTGCTTTCTTCTATAAAAATATTATGAAATGCCTTTAGAACAACAGGCACAAATGGATGTCTCACTTCATGCCAAGAGCACACCTATGCTCATAATGCATAATAAATGCACAAGTCTATCTGCCTTATTTTTAATTTGAAAATTACATTTTCTAATAACAACAACAAGCAATCTGCAATGCATTTCTAAGGCATGATTACATGTCTCATGCATTTAAAGTCACTCATGCATTATAACACCACTCAATGTGCAATGTGGATGGAGCATTTTCCAAGAATTTAATGACAGCCTCAGGATTAGTATCCTCAGAAATCAACTCTCCCAGTTAATTATTAATCCCCAGGGGCACCTCTGTGCTCCAGTCATTATTGTATACAAATCATGACAATACTATGGCCACAGCCCTGCAGTCCTCACTCATATAAGTAAAGGCTGCAGTAGTAGGCCTATATTACTAGGAATTAATGAAGTAAGATGCACTTTACAGGTCAGAGTAAAATAACAGAAAGGTTTCTCTCTCCGCTAATGTATGGCTCAAGATTCTCTGAGCATTTCCTACCTCCTAGATATCCCGCTTGAACACTGGACTTTGCACTGCCTTTTTACAACTCCACAGGCTTCTTTTTTAAAAGAAGACAAAATGAAAATGACAGAAGGGCATTCGCCACTTATTCCCCCTCACCACCATCCCTTTTTTCAAGCCAATGAAACAACTTTGTATCTCACTAGAAGACCTCTCCTTGAGATGAGATGGTTGGTTTCTATCTGAAGGCATTAACAGAAACAGCAAACTGAGTCATTGGAAAAGCTTTAATTTTTTTTTAATCAAAAGTTAAGCAGCCTGCTTTAAGGACTGAAAGAGAAAAGGTCCTTTTCAGAGCTATCAAGTCACAAAATGATGTTTGTGAGCCCCAGAATACAGTTTGGCCTGAAGCTCTGATTACTTAGTTAGCCAGATGCTTCCCATGTCTATGCATTTGGCAACATAAATTTGATACATAAATGTGTGTCTCATCTCATTTTCATTTCTATTTTTCATCAGAGCTTTGTGCCACTCTTTCATCCCACCCCTAATATTTCTTGCTTTGCAAGAAGTGTCAGACATATGTTTTACAAAATCTAACTGTTTCATGGAACAACAAGGCTCCACCACCTTTCTTTTGGCATTTTTTAAGTCACAATTTTAATACACATGAAACAGAAGTTTTTCCAAAGGGTTTTTAATGTTTCATTATTCTGCAGGAATGTTATCTCAATTTATTTTGATACCAGGCACACTTGCAGCTGATTGCTCTTACCAGGCCACCAGGGCAACCAGTATCTTGTTTCAGAAATGCAACAAATGTAACACTGGAAAAGTAGGGGTCCAATCCAATTCTCAGTGAAGTCAATGAAGAAGAATCTCAGTGACTTCAATGGAAGAAGAATCAAGCCCATGCTATGTAAAACTGACATTCTATGATCCTCCAGGTACAAATCCATATCAACGTACAAAACTGCATAGAGCACTGTGCTGTAACTCAGGAGACCTGGATTCTATTCCTGGCTCTGTCACTGGCCTCCTAGGTGACCCTGGGCAAATCACTTCATCATTCTGTGCCTCTGTTTCCTCATCTGTATAATAGGGATAATAATACTGACCTTCATTTGTAAAGCAATTTGAGATGTGCTGATTAAAAGCACTATACAAGAGCTAGGTATTATTATTATACTGTAGAGCAGGGATTGGCAATCTTTGGCACGCAGCCCATCAGGGAAATCCGCTGGCAGGCCGGGACGGTTTGTTTACCTGCAGCGTCTGCAGGTTCGGCCGATCGCAACTCCCACTGGCTGCGGTTCGTCTTTCCAGGCCAATGGGGGCTGCAGGAAGCGACAGCCATCACATCCCTCAGCCCGCACCCCTTCCCGCAGCCGCCATTGGCCTGGAAAGGCGAACCACGGTCAGTGGGAGCTGCGATTAACCAAATCTGCAGACACTGCAGGTAAACTAACCGCCCTGGGCCGCCAGCAGATTTCCCTGACATGCCAGAGGTTGTTGATCCCTGCTGTAGAGCAAAGCCATTCAGAACTTCATGGCAGCAATGAAGATAGAACTCATTCTTCGGCTCCAAAACCTCAGCTAAAGGGATGTCTTCGTTAGCCTAATAGGGCCTATGATACATAGAAGAGTAGTTCCGATTCAACACATCCACAAAACACACACACAAGCTCATTATACTATGTTGATTATATATTTTCTGGGGGCACAGTTATTCCCTTGATTTCAAAAGGAAAAGCTATTCAGATCAAATGAACAAATAAACAATCAAGTGTAATTTCAACAGATACAGGCCTTTCAGCTCCACGGGTAGTATTCCCAACCCCAACCAGTAGAACTCTCCCTTTCCCCAAGCCAAAGGTGAGGCACTCGGGTCAGACGTGAAATACTGTCAGAAATGTTTTTGTTGCCAAGGCCCTTCCAGGGCTGTTGGGTTATATAATACTAAGCATTTCATTTGATGAAATGTTCACAGAAGCAATGAGATGCTAGATTCATGACTGGAAAGGAAGCAAAAGTCACGGGGAAGAAAAAAATCCAAGCAACACAGGGCAGTTGAAAATGCATGCTGCAACGGAATACAAGATATGCTATCAAGTCTGTAGTGAGGCTACACCGTACAAATTGGGGATTTATTTTAACATTACAGTGGTAGCCTGGGGCACAGTCCCTCTGGGCTAGTGAGATTTACTCTTGATTTGTACATACTAGCTAGAGCAGTCCATAGCTTCTTTACCAAGTGGATCTCAGCAATTGGCCTCCCCTGAAGCGGTTGCAGTAGAGATTATAAATAAGTAATTTAAAAACACTCCATCATAAACTGGACTGAAACTACATTTTGTAGACAAATGTTTTCGCTAAATTCCTTTGTCAGTGGTCTGAAAGCCAACCATTTGTTTGTCCTTCCTTGTGAAGGAGACGGGGGAAGAAGCAGGGACCACATTCCAGCCAGTGGGAGGATCAGTCTGCCTTCCCCGTGGCTAAGCAATAATTGACTCATTATTCACAGCCATATCTCTCTACCTGCCAAGACCCAAATGTACCACGCTGGCCTTTATAACATGTCACAAAGGCCCAAAATAAAGGACACAAACACAATAAAAGGTAGCAGAGTAGGACGCCTAAAATAATGCAGGGATTCATTTATTTGACCTGCAGAAAGTCTTCCAAACTCTGTTTTACTTTTCATAATTTCCACTGCCAATTTCTTAAAGCAGTGTTTCCCAAACTTGGGATGCCACTTGTGTAGGGAAAGCCCCTGGTGGGCCGGGCCGGTTTGTTTACCTGCCACATCCGCAGGTCCGGCCTATCGCGGCTCCCACTGGCCGCAGTTTGCTGCTCCAGGCCAATGGGGGCTGCTGGAAGCGGCGCGGGCCAAGGGACGTACTGGCCGCCGCTTCCTGCAGCTCCGATTGGCCTGGAGCAGCGAACCCCGGCCAATGGGAGCCGTGATCGGCCAGACCTGCGGACGCGGCAGGTAAACAAACCAGCCCGGCACACCAGGGGCTTTCCCTACACAAGCGGCATCCCAAGTTTGGGAAATACTGTCTTAAAGCAATGAAACAACAAACAGGTATGGGTGAGTGGGAAAGCAAAATATGAACCTCTAAGGAAGTCTTGATAAGTCTATAGGGGGGAAGGTATGATGAGATTCCCTACAATAGAGTATGGCCCATCTACAACTGCTACTAGCAAATATCTCCAACAGCCGGAGACGGGACACTGGATGGGGAGGGCTCTGAGCTACTACAGAGAATTCTTTCCCAGGTGTCTGGCGGTTGGATCTTGCCCACATATGGCTATATTTGCGGTTGGGGCGGAATTACCCCTGGGTCAGATTGGCAGAGACCCTGGAGGATTTTGCCTTTCTCTGCAGAGTGGGGCACGGGTCACTTGCCAGTCTAATCCAGAGTAAAAGGTGGATTCTCTATAACTTGAAGTCTTTAAATCAAGATTTGAGGACTTGAGTAACTCAGCCAAACGTTATGGGTCTAATACAGGCGTGTGGGTGGGTGAGGTTTTGTGGCTTGCAATGGTCAGAAGTCTGACTAGATGATCATGATGATCCCTTCTGGCCTTAAAGTCTATGAGTCTGTGAGGTACATAAATTATAATCCAGTGTCTCTGAGAAGTAGGTGCCAGGCTTTATAAACACATTAGTATCAGAGAAGCGTATCCAACTTGATGTGCTCTCTCTGTCCATCTATCCAACCTTTGTATTGTTTAAAATAATTCTTGCCATCCCATTTGGACTGGCTTCTCCTGGAGATGCCCACTGGTCACCCACCAATTTCAAAGAATAGTGAAATCAGTTACCACAAAGTCAGAGAAGAGTGGTATCAGGATTATCTGATAATTTCCTGACAGTGAAATCTATTAAATTAAACAATAGCCAAAGAAGAATGACGAAAACCCTACAGCTTGAAAT